AAATTTATTTTGAACTTTCAAAATCTACCCAACTAGACAAAATTTTTTTTTTTTAAAAATATTGCAAACAAAGTCCAATAAAGATTTTTCAAAAAAAAAAAAAAATCATTAGTGAACTTTGTTTTTGAATTTTTTTTACTCTTAAATCTTTCTACACTAGATATAGATCCCAAAAAAATAAAAATTTTGACACAAATTTAAAAATAAAAAATAGAAAAAGATAAAAATAAATAAATGAATAAAACTTTTTTTAGTTGCATGTGGAAGTAACTGCGAGGGAAAACCACCTCTGAGTTTAAAATCGTTAAGGTAATTGTGTGAAGGAATTTACAGTTTTACCATTTAAATAAATAGAAGAACTCAATTAAACGGTAAATAATCAAGGAAAAATATCAAATCACTGGTATTTATAATAAAAAAAAAATTACAAATCAGTGATAAATTTTATAAATATTAATAGTTAAAAATATAAACTTTTTCATATATCTATAATTGTTTTTTTATAAGTGGACTGAATTATAATTTCCCAATAATTAATACTTTAAGTTATAATTCGGAATAGAAAACAAGAAGACAGGAAGAAGAAAATTTTGGTTACCCAACTTCAGTTGTTGGGGAGTTTCTAATTACACCAATATCTCTTTACACTCAGACGAACATGCCTTTCTTTATAGAATACAATTGTTAGAGCATATCAAACTTTTCAAAATCATTTTTTAGCTAAAAATTTAAAAAAAAATCAATTCCATCAAACTCGCTTACAGCTCGTCAAAATTTAAGATCGCTACAGTAACTCATTACAATAAGCGAGGCATTGTTCATCGCTATTTGTATGTTACCGGACGTCCGGCCAGTTAACCGGTCAGCGGCAATTTTTTTTTTTTACTTTTTTTAAGAATTGTTTGGTTGGTAACTTATCAATTTAATAAAAAAAAGAAAGATTAACAAACACAATAAGAAAATAATATTTAATAAGAATAAGTTAGAATAAAGAGTTTGATGCAGTAGTTGGTAAAAGATGACTAGTTAAAATAATAAAATAGTTTTAATTTGACTAAAAATTTGAAGAGTTTGGTGTAGATGCTCTTACAATGCAGTAAATAAGTGTAATGAAAAATATAATGAGTGCAAATATATGCTCCCTTTGTTTTGGGTACTACACACCACGGAAAAATATTAAATAATCTTAGAATATTATGTAAAATTACCTATATGGTATTCCAAAAAAATAATTATTTGACAAAGGTGAATTATTATGATTGACCTATAAAATTTCTTGCTACGCTATTGGTTTACACCACCGCATAAGTAATACTACATAGTACATGAGAAAAAGGTGATTAGGGCTTATGTATGTAAGATACGAGACATATACTTAATTTAATGATCAATATAACTTTTAACATAATTCAATAGCCAATATTTTTTTTTATATTTATATAATAAAACTGGCTTTTGAATTGCTTGATATATCTGTTTAATCCCAGCTCAAATTCAATTTGAACTTCTAAATTGCTACTGAAGCACTAAAAAATATGAACTACGCTAGTGTTTCTCAAGTTAGGCTTGCCCGAATTGCATCTGTATCTAGAAATATTTTTAATTCTTTTTTTTTTAAGGTCAACTTATATATCATACAACTATTATATACAAAATACTTTGCTAATAATGGCCAAGAATAATAGTTACTTTCCTTTCTGTTTTTTTATATGCTAACAAAGGGGAAACAAGGTAATTAAGCATATTAGAACATGTGAGCAATATGTCATAGCAACTTGAGGTATCAAATCTATCAAAGAAAGTGCATTATTAGCTTAAAATCCAACATATTCACTAAAAAGATAGATCATTATGATATCTTAATTGTACTCTTTGCTATCAATTGGCAAATTATGGAATCTTATACTTGATAATAATTGAGCAGCAATGCTACAGGCGTTAGATGCAAAAACCAAAACATAATGATCAAATTATTAATCAACATATTCCATAAGATAATTTCAGTGGTCAATAGAATCACCTTCTTATTCCTCTTTGAGATTATACTTATAGTTCATACTTCAAAAAGATTTGGAAGTTTTGATGTTTCTTGTGCAATTCCATCCACACTACTTTGCACCACATTATTTGTGATTGTTATCCAATGTTGTCGCAAAAATTTACACAAAAATAAATAAATAAAGTATTTGCAATGGCAACGAGGCAATTGTTACAAAGTGGTTGCCAAATTTTTTTTTAACAATGGTATATATTTATTGTTTAAAAGAATCGCAGAAAATCTATTGTCTGCGTTTATTCAAAATACCGATATTGTTAATACCTCACAAAAATGACGTCATTTTGATTCACATTCGTTTTGCAATTGTATTTTCATTATTTGCAATAATCATTAGTGGGTCTAATAACACTAGGCTGATGTGTTGTTCTGAATTGAATGGGTTAGTGTTGCCCATGTTGCTGGGTTGGTGTTGTTAGTGTAGCCTATGTTGGGTATGGCCTGGGGTTAGCATTTGTTTGGCTTTTTGCATGTACCTTCTTGGTGAGGTTATGCTTCTTAAGCTATGATGCTTTGATCTTTGGTCTTTTTATTGATGTAATTTTACTGTACTTGTTGTATATTTTATTCATCAATATATATATATATATATATATTTTGTCAATCAAAAAAAAAAAAAAAAAACTAGGCTGATTATGAATCCGGCTGACACTCTCACAAAACTAAAGTGGATGTCTAATTCAACTTAAGAGAACTATTTTATTTGATCAGCAAAATAAAAGTTTCATTGATGTACCAAATGAGAAACAAGCAAAAGAATACATCAAGAGGAGCAAAAAAGGGGGAGAACTTAAGTACATAAAATTTTATAAGATTTAGTTATTGGTCACTATTTTGAAAATCAGACAGACCGGTTCAACCGATTGAACCGATAACCAGTCTAAGTTTTACTCTGATTAGACCTTCAAACTCATTTGAGCTCGAAAACCGGCCTTTTTTCAAAAAATTAGAAAAATTCGCTATTAAACCAATAGAACCGGTGCCAATTGGAGCGAACTAGCTAAGCTCATCATATAAGGTCAAGTTTTGAAAAATAATAAAGGTATATACACTAATTAGTGTACTAATAAATAATGTACCATAATTTTATTAATTTTGAATCGTTATAATTTGTATAATGGATGGAATGTATAATTTTGAAATTGCAATGCTATAACATGTGTTATTACACTAATTAATATACCAATTGGTGTATATAATACCATTATTTGATAAATGTAGGCCCCAAGGCTTAAGAACTCTAGACCTCAATCCAAGCATCTTGCTACTTATACAATTATGCCACCAATAATCCTTGTTGAGAAATTAGTAGATATAATTTATTTATTATATTTGAATAGTTTTCTCTAATATACTAATATAATTAACATTTTTATAATTAGTATCAATAAAAAAATTAAATGTATAAACAAATATAATTCATATATATATAATGTAAATTTGATACCTATTTTCATTTAATTATATTTTTTATATATTTATTACATAATTATGACGTGACGATTTTATTTGACGATTGAACCAGTGACCCATCTATCTAATCTATTTTTTAATTTGTTCACTGATCTAATTTTTAAAACCTTTGGAAACTTCAAGGACGAAAAAAAAATCAATTTATTTTATTAAACCGAAAACTATGATGTTAGCAATAACTTGCATGCGTAGCTAAATAGAAAAAATAATAAGCAATTGTTGCATGTTATGCACAAGTGAAGAAGTTGGTACTAAAGTGTCCAACCATGGAATCTATTAATGAAATTAAAATTTCATATCTTTACAGCATCTCCAATCCAATCAAAGATAATACATTAAATTTAAAATTTAGTGAAAAGCGTCAAATGAAGCGTTCTAACTCTTTTATCAAATTCATATCAAATTGAAGCAAAGTCAAAATTTTTATCAAATAAAAGGAACCTTTCATCTTTCATCAAATTTAAATTTACTGTTGAGCCGAACATCCTCTCGGATGTCCATCAAGAGTAATTTTGATAGTTCTTTCAGGACATCCATATGTCCTCTCGGACAATTCAGAATGTGAAAAATTTTGATAAAAATTCTCATTTTAATATTGAAGTAAATGGTATCAAATTAAATTTTTCATCAAAATTTTCTGTTAGAGATGGTCTTAGGAACGATATATAGAAAAAATTGTCTCATTTGTCATAGTCACACCTAGTAAAAAAGAACCTCTCACAATTGTTCAAATAAAAAATAAAAAAAATAAGCACCACCATCACTTATCAAAAGTACAGTCCCAACAATTTGCATCATCTTCAAGTGTGTTCTGGTGGATGATGATGTTATATAAATAAATAAATAATATATATATATATATATATGTGTAAATATACAAATAGTTTGGAATTATTTGAATAAATCAGTTTTAAGATTTTGAATGTAGATATCCTAACCATTAGTTGGTTTACGGACGTTGGAAAACAATTTGACCTTTTGAATTTCCTAAGTTAGTTTTTGTTCGAGTTCCATAAAAAGAACTCTCTTTAATAGTTCATATACACTTTAGTTTTTCCTTATAAGTTTTTTTATTGTTTTCATTCTGAGTTTTCTAAGTTAATGTTCTGATTTAAAAAACAACTAAGGAATACAGTCTTAATATTGTTTTCTAGAATAAGTCATTGTATACTGAAAATATAATTTCCAAGAGACCTTTCTATATAATAGTGGAGAAATTATTATCTTAAAAAAAAAAAAATCTTAAATGTGTCTTACCCTTGAGTGTTTTACTTTTCTGAATTGGTTTGTTTTTTTTTTTTTTTTTTTTTTTTTTTTTTTTTTTTTTTTAACACAACGTATTTATTTTTTATACAACAGATGATTTGGCCACCTGGGGCCCCATCCTTTTTACATGATTAAATCTCCACCATCCATTTCACCCGCTCAACCTCTATATATTCTCCTCTCCCCTCACCCTTGTTTTGTCCCAACTTGTTCTGCCTTCTTTTTTTTCCCATCTCCCAAACACCAACTTTCTCTCCTCTCCTCTATCATCTTGTCCTCTAACCCAGTTCCCAATTTTCTTTTCTCATCATCAACTTCAATGCGTTGCTTAGTGGCCATGCAAAAGGTTAGTGATCATTCATCACCACGTTTTTTTTCTTCTTTTTCTTCTCTTTCTTATGCATTTACTAAACAAACTTGATAATCTTGTTGTGCATACATGAGTAATAATTTAATTATTTCACTAAATGAATTTAATTTTTATTTTATTTTTTTGTGGGTTTTAGGGTAAGATCGAAGGAGAAGAAGGAGAGTGTACTTTTGATGGAACTGTTGATCTGCATGGTAGTCCTGCAATCCGAGGAAGAACTGGAAAATGGTTTGCTGGAATTATCATCCTCTGTAAGTCCCAAATAATCAATAATTACCAATGATTATTATTATTATTTATTTTTTAAATAAATAAAATATTAATTACAGGTTGAAGTTACAGAAATAACCTCTCCACTTTAACGAGAATCTCGTATATTGGGTCGTTTTTTTTATTTTAAGTCTTGAAATCTTAGTCTACCTATCTTCAATAAATTTAATGCTTGAGAATATATGATACTTCGTTTATCTATGAATATATTCACACAGACATATGTATATATTAATCTATGCGTATATACTTACATTTTCACAACAGACATATTCACTTTTATATATACTCAGTTTTTCATACTATTCAGTTTTTAGCTTTTTTATTTCTTTTTCCATGAGAAAGTTTAAGTAGTTTGTTTCTTGTGGGGGGCTGTGTTTGATTATGTGTTCCATATATATTTTTACCTACTTATTTGAGTGTGGTGTTCGTTTTAAATTTTCAAATTATAATTTTACACATGCTTTTGAAAACTCCTTTCCATGCAAGAAAATTTGGCTAATCCAGACGTCCAGCTGGTTGACCAGAATATATATATATATATATATATATTTTCTTGGACACATGTTATTTTATATTGTAAATAAATAATATTTTCCAAATTTTTAAAATTTTTATATGAATTTTGAATAAAATTTTAAATTTTGTGTTTGGTTCTAAGTTGTAAATTTTTTAATTAAATAACTTTTCTAATTTCAAAAATTCAAAACTCTCTTCAAAACTTAATTCAAAACTCTTTTCAAAACTCATAACTAAATTATTTTTTCACACTCAAATCATAATTTCAAAACTCACAAACTCAAAATACAATTCTATTCACAAATTATATTTAGAAAATTCTACCAAACGCTACCTAACATCTTCAAAAGAATTATAGCCTTCGTTTGGAATGTGAGTTGACTTTTTAATTTTTTAATTATTTTTGTTTGATGCTAAAAAACCTCGTTTGAAATAAGCTTTTTGACCTTTTTAACTTTTGTGAAGAAAAAAAAAATGATTATGAATTAAATATGACATTTTATCTTATTTGACTAAAATAACTAATTTTGTTCTATATAACTATTTTAACTAAATAGTATCCCAAACATTACATTCAAATCAACACAGATTGTCTGTTTATGTTTTGAGTGTTATACAAACCAAATAAATTTATTTGACAAAATAAATAATAATTATTGTGCATATATTATTTCCATTTAAATTTATTTTATTGCTTGTATAGGGTCCTAAAAAAGTTATTACACAATCACTTTCATCATATCCCAACTTTTGACATGAGATTTTCTATTTTTAAACTTCTATCTCTTTGTCTCGCATCATTTTTAGTTGCAACATCATATTTCGAAATTTTCATGTGTTAAGATTCTCACTAATATTAGAACAGAAAATCCTTAATTATCTTTTTTTTTACCGCGGGACTTGCCTTAATGTAGTTTGGTTCCAACCCTGAAAGGTGGATAAAATATTTTGCATAATGAATACATGACATGGCTCAACTGAAGTGATTTATTTTTTTCATTTATTCTCTGTCATGGAGTAAAAGTGGGACTCAAAGGCTCAGCTCGAGATACTGAGCACTAAAACTTCATTTGAAAATATATTATTTTAATAATTTTTTAATTTTTTATAAAAAAATATAATAAAAAAAAATGATACAATAATTTATAGTGATTTTTTTTATTTTTTAACTACAATATTTAGTATCCAAAGGAGACCTAACTCTTCAATCCAATCAAATTTTGATCCCAATTTTACCACACAAGTAAAAATTAAAAAATATACTATGCCAACTCAAACAGGTAACATATTAGTTACATAAAATACTGAGAAAGGGAGAGAAAATGAAAATGGGTAATTAAAAGGAAATAACTAATGTTTGTGGGAAAAAGATTGTTGGGAGTGTCTTTCATAGGTGTATCTAATTCGATTTCAACATCAAGTGGGAAAACAACAGAACATACCATGTAGATGAACATATAACATATTTGTCAGTCAAACATATGTAAGTGTGGAAGCCTTGTTGCATGATGACAGAGACACTCATGGTTTTAGAGAGAGAAAAAATTTTTAAAGAGAGAGAAAGGGTGAGTAGAGAAAAACTCTCGTTGATAAACACGTAACGGTACTCCTCGATAATCAAAAACTATCCTATCATTTCTAGAATAATATTATATATATTAATTAATGTATTAAGTAGTGTATCAACATTAGTTATAATTTTTTTATTAATTTCACTCATTATATAAATTATAAATATCAAAAACAAATTAAATTATGTCAGATCATCAATTAGTATATTAATTTATGTATATAGAATTACACATCTTTTTATGTTCTCCAATCACCCACCATTAAATTATAAGTCTCACATCTTTCATCAATCACAATTGGCCAATTTGGAAACTTAACTAAAAGTTAAAATTTGACTTTTAAACTATTTTAGCGCAGGTCACTTATCTCTCTACTTTTTTTGTATATTTTTTCTAAATAAAGTAGAATAAAAATTAAAAAGTCAGTTTTTAACTAATTTCCCAAGACAATCCAATATTATTACATTGCATTTAGTTAGAAAATTTGAAAAGGGATTTAAAAAGAAAAAGAAAAAAGATAAATAAAATGTGAATAAAATATATCTATATTTTATTTAATTTCACACATTTTCTCTCTTTTTTTTTTTTTAAATCTCCAATTTAAACACAGTATTAAAACACCACTAACTGTGTTCTAGAATCAACTAATAACTTCTCCTAGTTGATTGGAGCAAGGATCCTCTCCTTGGCTCTCTACTTAGTAGGCTATTGGGTCCACTTTTGAGCTCAATTTTAATAATTCAAATCGTTTATATTTTAAGATTGGTTGATTATATTATAATTGTAAAAAATCAAGTCAATCAGATATCGAAAACCACATGTTTGGATCATCGAACTAAAAATCTTTATTTAAAAAAATTAATAAACAATTTTATTATTTAATAAAACTTTTATTTCGATAATCCAAACACGTAATTTTTTATATTTAATTAATTTAATTTTTAACAAATATAATATACTTAAAAAATTTTAAAATATAAACTATTTAAATCATTAAAATTAGCCTAAAAATAAGTCCAATGACATATCAAATAAGGAGCTGAAGTAGAGAGATCCAAACGAGATGTTTACTCAGTTGATAATTTGTGTACTTGGGTTTCAGAGGCAGAGCACTAAACTCTACTACTAGTACTAGAGTAAGTGCAGAGAGAGAACGTGGAGAGAGAAAACCATGCAATGTGTGGCGACGACAGACATACCGACCTGACATGTAATCAGTCTATTGTTTTGCATGACGTGGGTTCGTGCCACGTGTGGTCTTCTTTTTTTGTCCTAGTTCAATTCACTGGGAAAAAAAATCTTGCTACCCTTTCGTTTAATTTTCAAAATTTAATTCTCTTTCCAAATTATAATTTGAATCAACATTTAGAATCGAATAAAATTTTAAAATACAATTTAAAACTTCTTTCTTTTTTTTATATTAATAATCAATTTCTTTTTCTCTCGTATCTCTCCTCTCACATTCTATACATCAATCAATAAAAAAAAAATACAAATTATCTCAAAACTATTTTTAAAACTTATAATCAAATAAATTTTCTTTTTTCAAATTATAATTCAAAAACTCAAAACTCAAAATATAATTTCACACTCAAATCATAATTCAAAAAGTAAACCAAATGGAAATTAAATAATTATTTGATTTTTTAGTTTATAGTATTTTTTTATATTTCGTGAATTTTTTTAAATTTTAATTTATTTATTTACTTTTTTAAATTCAATAAATACATTTAAAAATTCAATAAATATATATAAATATAATGATTTTTTATATTTCTTTGTATTTAGTAAATTTTGTAAAAAAAATTAAAAAATTATATTTAAGTGTATAAGTGAAACTAAAAATAAAATTAATTAATTAAAAAATTAAAAATGTTCACTAAAAATAAAAATACAAAACGAAAACTCTAAAAATAGTTTTTAAAAAATCCAAATCAAACAGAATAAAAAAGAAAGTTTTAATTAAAAAGGAAGAAAAAAAAAGTTTAATTAAAAAGGAAAGTAAAAGCAAAGTCCCCCCACACATATAAATCTGCCAATTGGGTATGCTTTAGGTTGGATAATGACATGAAAAATCACTTCATCGAGACTAGTGGGCAAAGGAAAAAGAAAAAATAAACTAAAATAAAAATCTTTGTTTGAATTTTGTATATTTGTGCCAGTATTGTATTCCATTTTGACAAATAAAAATAAAAGTAAACATAATCTATAAGAATACGATACTAAAAACTTATCTTGAGCTCTATATGCATCTCGAGATGCATATGATTTTATGAATAGCTAAATCAAAGAGAGAGAAAATGATAGTCCGATTTCCAATCTTTTCACTTCTTTTAGGAGTCGGGTCTTAAAAAATTATGTAACTAACTATAATTAATTGAAAATCAAAATTAATCCAAAGTGGTATAAAATTAGGAATGACAACGGGACGGGACGGGGCCAGGGATCACACTCCCTATCCCCGATTCCCGAAACTACCATATTCCCTTGCCCCGATCCTTGACGGGAACCCATCACCCCCCCACCACCGCCCCCTAACGGGGATCGGGTTTCCTCGACCCCCGTTTATCCCCGTACTCATCATCAGCAACATCATTCAGCAACATCATCAAAAAAAAAAAAAAAAAAATCATCAACAAAAACATCATCAACGGTAGCAACATCATCACAAAAAAATAAAAATAATAAAATAAAATAAAATAAAAAATTCATCAACAACATCATCAAGGCAGCAACATCATCAAAAAATATAAAATAAAATAAAAAAAATAGAGACAGATCTGGCGGAGGAGGGACGAAGTCGATGGTGGCAGGATCTTCTCAAATCTGCCGCGGCAGAAAGAGGAGAAGGTGAGAGGCGACGGAGCTGACGGAGGAGGAGGGCGCTAGAGGCGATGCCGACGGAGGTGGCGGTGGCCTAGAGGCAGAGGAGGAGGCGGCGAGAGAAGGAGGCGCCGATTGCAGAGGGAAGAAAGAGAGAGAGAGACAGATTAGAGAGTGAGAGTGAGAGTGATGAAAGAGCAGATCAGATTGTATATAGAGGGGGGTTATACATATGAATGGGATAGAGGGGTATTATGGTAATTTTATTTCGGGAAAAAACGGGGCCAGGGACCGGCTGGGTCTGGGGCTGTGAAAGTGATCCCCGTCCCCGGCCCGAAACTGATTGGGGATTTAATTTCAAATACTATCTCCGGTCCGTCAAGGGTATTTTTTGAGAAAAAACTACTCTTATCGAGGACAAGGGGTTGGGTCCCCATTGGGCCGGGTTCAAATTGCCATCCCTACATAAAATGGACTTTTCTACAATTGAACCAAGAACCCAAGCAAAAGGGTGGTTACAAAAAATAAAATAAAATTTTAATGGAAATTAGAATATATTCTTCTTTTCCCTCCTTTTACCATAGTAATTTGAACACATTCTATATTCTTTCCTCATTTAATTTCAAATACTATCTCCGGTCCGTCAAGGGTATTTTTTGAGAAAAAACCACTCTTATCGAGGACAAGGGGTTGGGTCCCCATTGGACCGGGTTCAAATTGCCATCCCTACATAAAATGGACTATTCTACAATTGAACCAAGAACCCAAGCAAAAGGGTGGTTACAAAAAATAAAATAAAATTTTAATGGAAATTAGAATATATTCTTCTTTTCCCTCCTTTTACCATAGTAATTTGAACACATTCTATATTCTTTCCTCAAGCTGTAAAACCATGTTAAGCTTCCATGAAACATGTACATTTCATGTCCTTTTTTCTTCATCCACCTCTAATGTTGTCACAATCCCAAATCTATCATATATAAAAATAATAATTATTATTATTATAAAATAAATTTTTTTAAAAAAAAATCATCTGATCACTTGTCCAAAAGACTTACCATCCAAAAAAGTATCTAACTCTTTTTTTCTTCTTTCTATTTTGTTAATGAATCAAACAGTGAATCAAGGTTTGGCAACCCTAGCATTTTTTGGTGTTGGAGTAAACTTGGTGTTGTTCTTGACAAGGGTGCTTGAACAAGACAATGCCGAAGCTGCTAACAGCGTCAGCAAATGGACCGGGACTGTCTACATCTTCTCTCTCGTTGGGGCCTTCCTCAGTGACTCCTATTGGGGACGATACAAAACCTGCGCAATCTTTCAAGTCATCTTCGTCATTGTAAGTAACTGCAATCACACTCTGCTCATTTGCATAAAATGCTAGAGACCAGAAAATTTTCACAAAAAAAGTGTCCAAAATACAGTACTGCTCGGTCCATTTTGCATTCTTATTGTCTCATTCTCATTGCATTCTATTTGTGTCCATTGCAGGGCTTGATATTGTTATCCCTATCGTCGCACCTTTTCTTGCTCAATCCGAGGGGATGTGGGGATCGAACGACTAAATGTGGGGCCCATTCGAGCTGGCAGATTGGGTCGTTCTATCTCTCAATCTACATGATTGCTCTTGGAAATGGAGGGTACCAACCTAACATCGCCACGTTTGGGGCTGACCAATTTGACGAAGAGGACCCTAAGGAGGGACGCTTGAAGGTGGCCTTCTTCAGCTATTTCTACCTAGCTTTGAATATAGGTTCACTCTTCTCAAACACCATTCTAGGGTATTTTGAGGATGAAGGGATTTGGGCTCTAGGGTTTTGGGCATCTACTGCCTCGGCTTTCGCTGGACTAGTTCTGTTTCTTGTTGGTACCCCAAGGTACAGGCACTTCAAGCCCACTGGCAACCCTCTTTCCAGGTTCTGCCAAGTGATCGTCGCCGCGGCAAAGAAATGGATGGTTGAGATGACACCAGACGAGAAGAACATGTATCAAGAGAATGAGGAGAGTTCTGTGAGTGGTGGCAGAAAGATAGTTCACACTGATGAATTCAAGTGAGTGTAAATAGCATTGGTCTTTTTCCATCGTTTGTTTGTATAAGCGAACAACATTTTTTAGAAAATGTCTTCCATATTTTTGAACATTTGGTATAACAATAATCGAAATTCAACAGAAAATGTTTTTTGTGGCTAGCAGAAAATGAGTTGATTTTGTCATAAAATGTTTTCCGATTTTTAAAGGTGAAAAATGTTTTCTGAACTAAAATCTTATCAATATTACCATCATACATTCACCACCACTACCACTGTCATTGCCCAAAAACCATCACCATCATACAACAACAAACACGACCACCAGTCCTGCTGACATTGCCCTAACACTGTCACCACCTCACTGCCACTGCCACCACGATCACATCACTTTTAGGGTCACAACTAAACACCAGAAAAGGTTTTCTACTGAAACAAACTGAAAGTAAAACTCAGGACCATCAAACAACAATCTAAACACTCATGTTCATGTTCATCTCTATGGTGCAGATTCCTTGATAGAGCAACATTGATTACACCAAAGGATTTGAACAGCCAGAAGGACAACCCGTGGCGGCTCTGCCCCATTTCGCAGGTTGAGGAGGTGAAATGCATACTCCGATTAATGCCCATTTGGCTATGCACCATAATATACTCAGTGGTTTTCACCCAAATGGCTTCACTCTTTGTTGAGCAAGGTGCCGTCATGAAGTGCACAATTTCAAACTTCCGAATCCCTCCGGCTGGCATGTCTAGCTTCGACATCCTAAGTGTAGCACTCTTCATTTTCATGTACCGCCGAGTACTCGATCCACTAGTGAGCAGAATCAAGAAGAAACCGGATTCTAAAGGACTTACAGAGCTCCAAAGGATGGGAGTCGGACTCGTCATAGCAATAATGGCGATGGTTTCCGCTGGGATTGTCGAGTGCTACAGACGCAAGTACGCTAGAAAAGATTGCCTTAATTGCGAAGGCTCGAGCTCTCTGAGCATATTCTGGCAAGTCCCTCAGTACGCTTTCATAGGAGCCTCTGAAGTTTTCATGTACGTCGGCCAGTTGGAGTTCTTCAATGCACAAGCGCCAGATGGGCTGAAGAGCTTCGGAAGTGCACTTTGCATGACATCGATTTCACTAGGGAACTATGTGAGTAGCTTGCTAGTGACAATGGTGATGAAGATATCGACCATCGACAACATGCCAGGATGGATACCGGGAAATCTGAACCGAGGTCATCTAGATAGATTTTTCTTCCTCCTAGCTGCTTTGACAACCTTAGATTTAGTTGTCTACATTGTTTGTGCTAGGTGGTACAAGAGCATCAAGTTTGAAGGTAAATTTGTAGGAAATTCGGAGGAAGACAATGAACTTTCTGATGTATGAGGTGGAAAAATGCAGGGTTCTAATAAGGAAGAAAATAAAAATAAAAAGAGAAGATGAGGTTGTTACAGACAGGTTTGGGCAGACTAGATTTGAAGAAAGTAGGTAGTTGTGTGAGATTAAGAGAGAGACACTTCTAAGTCAGCTCTCTTACAGCACTCTTTTTATCCAACTTTACAACACCTACCTCAAAGAATTTAATCTGTCAAACAGGGTGTTAGGAGAGGTGGGTTGTTTTTGGTTTATGGGTATTTTGGGAATTTCACCTCACTCTCATTTGTTGGTTATGTTGTAAAGCATAGAATTAACATGTGTTTGTAGGGAGTTCCAAGTGTGACTAATCGCCTCTCTTGGTAGTTTTGTCTGTTAAACACATTTATGTCATGGGTGTTGTAGTCTTGGGATGAGATACTATTTTATCACAAGTAAAAGTACATTTGGTAGTCCTTATTAGTTGACTTATTTATCCTACAACCGTGTTGGGACCCTAGCACCCCCAGCTCCACGTGGGGCTCTGCAAGTGGAAGATCAAAAAAAAAAAAAAAAATAAATAAATAAATTATGGACCAATCAGAAAACAGTGGGGGTGGTGGGGTCAACCCCACTGAGGTCTGAGGCACTTTCCTTTATCTTATTTGTTTTTAAATAAAAATGACCTGTGAAGTTTGCTTATAACTTATTTGATTTTTCAGCTTATTTAGCTAAAAAACAAATAATATTTTTCTTATGCTACAACTCAGTAGCTATTTTTAGCTTATTTGAAATCTTTATATACATATGGACAAAACAGTTTTGTCTCCTTTGTTTTAATTATAATTTTGAGGGAATTTTAGATATTTGCACAACAAAAAAACTATGTGACAGGTTATTCAACCAAACAGGTTCAACTCTTTTCACAAATTATCAAAGGTTGCATTAAACATATTTAGAACTTATTTTAATTCTTTTAAGCTAATAATTTAACAAGTTATAATCATAAAAACTAATTCATAACTATTTGGCATAAACTAAATAAGTGCACTTATTTAGATATATACACTATTTGGGTTACATCACTTCTCTATTTTTTGCACATCTTTTTATAAAAAGTCAAAAAATATAATTATTAAATCATCCCAAACAACCCTGGCCAAAATCAACCTACTTTTGATTCACAGATAAGGGATGGCATATGACTACTTCTTCATCAAGGTAAAATTAATCTATGTTTTTCTTCAGATTTTATGACTCGGGACAACTTATCCAGAGAATCTTCCATCCCACATATGCAAGTTCATTTTGTCCCAGGATGTGGGACAACTTGTCAAGGTATAAGACTTTCGTCATAAAATGACTAAAACACCCTCATTAGTATAACTTAGACCAAGATTTGTTATTCCAGGATAAGTTAATCACTTCTAATCCTATCCGAGAATTCAGCATAACATGCTAATTGTTATGTTGAAATATTTCATGACACTGATGCCAGTATAACTGCTCCTACAATAATAAGGTCTCGAAGAAATTCATGAAGAAAAAAGGCAAATCCTACAAGATATTCTATAAATACGGTTTCAACTAAGAAGAGTTCTAACCAAAAGGAGATCTCTCTGCACATTGTCACTAATTCAACCCACAAATAAAATGCATCCCAGGGGCTACCAAAACTTTGGTATAGATTCTAGTCTGATCAATTAGAGGCAAAATTTGACTTCAATGAAGTTCATAAAAGCAGCAACAATCATAATGTTCAATAAAGTTCAACAAAACTATTCTCAATTATGATAGTTAGCACAAGGTAGACCGAGATGGTATTAGTCAACTGCACAGAAGATTCCTAGCAAGGACAAGTTTTATGATACGAGCACAAAATGAATATCAAAAGATCCCAAGGTCAAGACTTAAATAAAAGACATTGCTCTATATATCATAAATTTGAAAACATTAACGGCATTGGCAATGACAATAAAGAAATTTAACAATTCAATTATCAGAATACGCAAACAATTGATTGCAAAATTTTGGGGAAGGACTGTTATGCTATAATAGAAATTTTCAAAAGAGTAACATTTTTATGGGGTTTCCTATAATTTTTTCTGCAAACCACGTGATTGTTGGAAATTCAAAAAGGCAAATGATCCTGATTAAATATTAATACATGAAACAATGTCTATTAAGGAAATATCTCTTCAAAGGGAAGCTAATCAGCTTGAACCTTACGAACTTGGATGTGATGAGTAGATGCCCGGCGCCAGATAGGTTGTGCCCCACTTTGGACAAGAGTGACGTGCTCGCCTTCCTTCAACAGACTTTTACTCTAAACCATGGACAATACAGAAAAGTTTAACAGTTTACCTAGACAGAGTAATAAGTGGAATAAGAAAATTATTAGGAGAGAGTCACTAACCTGTAGCAGTTTTAGAGCTCGAGAAAAGGTCTCCTCAGCATCGTCAGAAAACTGCATATATATGGGCATTACACCATGATAAAGAGCCAGCCTCTGCTTAACCCTTTCTCTGCAATATACGAACATGTATCATCAAAATTGAAAATATGAGAAAGAACAGTACTACGTCAACCATTCTAATACTGCAAGGTATGTCCCGTGTCTGTATTAGTTATAAATGTCATAATCCAAATTACAGAATTTACTAGAAATGAAAATCAAATAATTTGCAAAGAGCATATCATGAACTGATGCTATCTGAACTCACTCATTTGTAAAGGCAAAGATTGTCGAGGAAGGGCGATAATGGCTTAGAAGTACAGCCATGGAACCCGTTCTTGTGAAGACAATGATGGGAGTTGCAAGGGTGTTTGCCATTGTGGTGGCATGAAAAGCAAACATTTCACCCATATGACTCTGTAATTAAAAATGAAAAAAAAAGAAAAAGAAAAAAAAAGAGTTCGTTAGAAATGTAACCTTATTTTAGAGAAAGCATTATAACTATAAAAAAAAAAAAAACAATAAATAATGCTTAGGAAAAAATAATAAAATCCCTCTTATTTAGCACCTCATTCAGCCCAGGAAAATTAAACGTGGCGTCGCTTTTTTTGTGGCAGGCTAAAAGAAGTGCACCCGTGATGCACACGATTATCACATAAAAAAGAGAATTATGACAACGAGAAAGGAAACATTGGGAGAATCAGTTGACGTCGAGTACAATTTTGAAAATTTTGAAATCACCATTAAGTGCTTAGCTCCTTTTTGGGGGGGTAATTATTTGAAAATAAGTACCATTTCACATAAGTATATGAGGAATACCAAAAACAGTGATATGATAACCGTTCCTGGGAAAAATGGTGGCTTGGCTTTCCATGTAGTACTGATACACACCTTATGGGCGGTAGATTGTCCTGGAGGATTAAAACTATCAGGTAGACTAGTCTCAGTCCTCAATGCCACAGTATGCATTACTTTGACAGCTTTCAATGGATACCTGGAATCATGTCATAATGTGAGATTAAATGAATCCTAATGAAGTAACAAGCATCATATTTAGCACACATTGAAACATCCAATGTTATTAAAATTCCAAAAATAAATTACACTAAATATAAACTTAATTTGCTATGATAATGCTAAAGATGAAAGACTAGAGCAGTGTATATATGCATAAAGCATAAAATTAAAGAGAGAGAGGGGGGGGGGGGGGGGGGGGGGGGACACCAATAAACATGCTCATACATTATGTAAAAGAAATTTAATCATGCCACAATAAAAAGCCAGCCCCTCTGAGTGAAGTAATTCACATATCCAATTTGCTGATTTTCTATTCTGACTTCAGATAGAAATTAATACCATGAAACTAAAAATCTTTTACATTCAAGCAAAATTGCGTTTCACCAGATTTAAAGTTCCCAATTAGATCTCATTGTTCTGACGTAATAATTAATCCAACAAAAATACTGTACTGTAAACCAATAACAAAGCTGGGTTTCCCAAGAGGCAAGTGTAAAAGTGTTACTGGTAAAACCAAGGCTAGGCTGCCTATCTCTAAGCGTGCAAAATTTAATCAGATCTGTGATGTAGGACGAGTAGGGATTACTTTCCTACAAGTAGTGAGCCCGGTTTAAGTATATTGGCAATAGCAACAATAGACTTATAGGGCTGGATTTGGTGGGATTTTGTGACTGCAGAAATATTTAAAAGCATAAGAGTTTAAGGGTTTGTAAAAGGGTAGGGTTTTGGGACTGAAAACACAAGTGTTTAGGAGCAGTTGGGTGGTTGTTCTAAGCACTGTGAACAGTGACGTGAACAGTAACCTTGCTGGATAGAAATAGAAGAAGAAGACGAGAGAAAGAAAGAGAAGTGCTTCACCCTCACAAGGGATAGGTCAATCACACAAACATAATCTCAAATTTTCATAATATTTGTTAGAATTTACCTTCACCTACACCACTATCACCTCACCTACTCCACTAAACCTAACCCACTACACCACTACCACCTCCACTTCACCTACACCACTACCACCTCCACTTCACCTACTACACCTATATCTCCTATATAAGGAGCCTCTCACATTTGTACTAAATATATAAATCTTGTAGTATCAATCAATCAATAAACATCAATCAATAATACATAAGTTTTTACAATATTAACTCTGCTATTGAATCATTGAGATTACACATATATTTATAGGCTAAAGACTCTCCTAATTCTATAAGGACTATTTCTCAAATTTAGAAACTAAAAATATATAGCAACTACTAATATTCTAGACCAACTATGACTTCAAATTCTACTTTAATCATAATAGGAAATTTTAATGACTTCTAATTTTACTTCAATATCAAAATAGGAAACTTGGACTTTTGGCCACTAAGATTATTTTAGACGTCATAAAACTCATATTTAATAACCCATTTAATAACTTGACCCAAAATAAAACTCATGGGTGACCCCTACAACCCATGTCCAACAATTATTGGAATTACCATTATCCCCATAATTACTAAAACCTATTATAATGACATGAAGATTAAAAATTATTCCAAATCTTTAATTCTTGATGCTTTAAATGTGCTTCATGTGAAATTCCAGATTTGCTCTTTTTTTTCTTTCCATGATCTTCATCATTCTCCCCTGCATTCGAAAAAACTCGACCTTGAGTTTTATAATGTTGGAGTATAAGGATTATGGAATTTTGCACTTGTAACCATTCAACTTGATTGTTTGGAACGAACAATGAGAAAATCAAAAAATTCAATGTTGTCATCACTCCATTAACCGCATCGAATTTGTCAGGAATAATAAACTCAATGTGAACTTCATTTTTCTTTTGAAGAGTAGAAAGTTCAGTTGCATTCTCATCGTTCTCTTTGGCTTCCTTGGCTTTAGAACATTGATCATAATGATCTTTCATGCTTTCTTTGGTAAGCAAATTAATTTTCGCCTTCCTTTCTTCAATATCCTCAATATTAGCAGCATGTTCATCTTGTTCTTTCATAGTTTCTTCAAAATCTTTAACACTATCATCTTCTTGTTCTTGGATATTAGTCTTCTCTAAAACAGCAGCCAATAACATCTCCATGGAAGCTTTCAATCCATTTAAAGTTGTTTTGATAGTATGCACATCACTCTTTATTGTTGCAACATCCTCCTTAATTATGACAAAATCCTCTTTTAACATCGCAACATCTTCCTTAGTAGCCTCATAATCTTTTGAGGAGGCTTCGAACTTAGAATTCAATTCAGCGTTTGTCACCATCGTACTCAATAAAACAACTTTGTCAAAAAAAAAAAATCCAAAAGTGGTGGAGACTAAAAGTAGGATCTTGAAGCCCTGATACCAAACTGATGTAGGACGAGTAGGGATTACTTTCTTACAAGTAGTGAGTGCGGTTTAAGCATATTGGCAGCAGCAACAATAGACTTATAGGGCTGGATTTGGTGGGATTTTGTGACTGCAGAAATATTTAAAAGAATAAGAGTTTAAGGGTTTGTAAAAGGGTAGGGTTTTGGGACTGAAAACATAAGTGTTTAGGGACAGTTGGGTGGTTGTTCTAAGCACTGCGAACAGTGACGTGAACAGTAACTTTGCTGGATAGAAGAAGAAGAAGAAGACGAGAGAAAAAAAGAGAAGTGCTTCACCCTCACAAGGGATAAGCCAAACACACAAATACAATCTCAAATTTTCAAAATATTAACTCTGCTATTGAATTATTGAGATTACACATATATTTATAGGCTAAAGACTCTCCTAATTCTATAAGGACTATTTATCAAATTTAGAAACAAAAATTATTTAGCAACTACTAATATTCTAGACCAACTATGACTTCAAATTCTACTTTAATCATAATAGGAAACTTTAATGACTTCTAATTCTACTTCAATATCAAAATAGGAAACTTGGACTTTTGGCCACTAAGATTATTTTAGACGTAATAAAACTCATATTTAATAACCCATTTAATAACTTGACCCAAAATAAAACCCATGGGTGACCCCTACAACCCATGTCCAACAATTATTGAAATTATCATTATACCCATAATTACTAAAACCTATTATAATGACATGAAGATTAAAAATTATTCCAAATCTTTAATTCTTAATGCCTTAAATGTGCTTCATGTGAAATTCCAGATTTGCTCTTTTTCTTCTTTCCATAATCTTCATCAATCTGACTAGCTGGATGTATTTTAAACAGTTAACTGAAATCATCCAAACAAAAAATATGATGTTTCTAAGTGTGAAGTGTCTCTTCCTAGGAGTAGGAAAAGGTGGCTTGCACACTTGAAAATTTAATTGAGCCAAGCTCAAACAAGGTGATACTCGGTTCGGCTTAAAAGAAGAAAAGCACACCATGTGAATTTTTTCTTGAAGGAACTCAACCTACGTTGACATGGCAGGCAATATGAAATCACCATATATTGATGGATGGAAAATCAAATCAAAAGTTTTACTTGATGACCATTAGCTTCACCAAATAAAAGTGTAATTGCTACATATCTACAATCGGAAAATGAAATTTATTATGGATGCAAGACGTGTGAAATGAGGAAACTTACTTTCCATGGGCAGTTTCTCCTGAAAGCATGACTGCATCAGCACCTTCCCGTACTGCAATTGCAATGTCAGAAACTTCTGCTCTTGTTGGCGTTGGATGACCAATCATGCTTTCCAGCATATTTGTCGCTACAATAACTGGTTTCTGCATGCTGCGACACCTTCTGATGATGTCTTCCTGTTAACAAAAGAACATGGCAATTATTAAATTGTCATCCTGATTCTTTAGCCAGAGAAACTTAAAAATGGAGAACTTATACTGCATCTGACAGCATTTTAGCTGAACTAACAAGAACACCATATTATAATAACCATATACAGCCTTTGGTTTGTGCACAGAAGTAAAAAGGCCTAAAAATTGGTCAACAGTGCAGCACCCACCCCATCATTTGGAAGACCTTCTTGAACTGATAACCCTACTTTCTCTTAAATTATACTGATAATTATACCATTTTCTAATTCAATATTATGTTCAAGCAAATAACTGTGATACAAATGTTACATTCCTAATTATATTGACATTTTTCCAACTTAAAAGGCTTCTTCCTAAACAAAAGAAAGATCACACACTCACATGCACAAAAACAAAATAGGGTCGGGAAAAGAAAAGAAAAGAAAAGATACCAAATCCTTCAACCCCCAATCTCCAAAAAAAAAAAGGACAAAAGAAAACTAGAAACCAAAAACCAAAAATCAAAATACGAATAATTCAATAGGGCAAACCATTCTTCCACGAAGTTTATTTTAAAAAAAAAAACGCCCTATTAAGACTATTTATAGGTTTTTATGTGTGCTCGTGTGTGTGTGCGCGTGCGAGAGAGAGAGAGAGAGAGAGAGAGAGCAAAAAAGAAAACTTGTTAGCATCAATTACCTGCAATAAAGGGACATCCTCAATTGGAAGTTCAGCTCCAAGATCTCCACGAGCCACCATTGCCTATCAGCAATTACAACCACAAACCTTACATGCTGACAATATGACATCAACAATCTAACAATACACCAAAAGAAAAAAGAACGAAAAAACACTGCAATATGAAATTCATCTAGCTGCAGCAAATAATTTTCACCTTTCAATAATGACAAAGAAATGAACATGTGTGCAAGCATCAGATAATAGCCAACAGAAACACCATGATATATGTAAAATTACTTTTGAGAAACAATTGAATCATAAAAGAAAAGAGAGGATATGATTTTTGTGTAATATGCCATACATACAATCGCATATACATGCTGCTCTAAGTTAGAATTGTGATAAATGCAATCCAAGAATTTAACTTTGAACATGGGATTCTTACAGCCATTTTGTTTGCTTATAGTTACTTTAAAGCCATTTTACATTTGGAATTTCAAGGGAATTGGTTTTTTAATTAAATGGGAAAAAAATTCATACAAGTTTTTCATTTGAGAAAAATAGCAATAATAAAAATAAAACGTTGACTTTTTTACTAACAAAGAAGAGCACAAACATACACTGCCACAATTCACATAAGCAAATCCAAGAAACAAAGCAATACAACAAGTCCTCTGTGAAATTGTGTCCCTCTAAAGTGCAATGAAAATTGACTCTTCATTCATGTGACAAAATATCCACATAAGGATTTGCAAATAAAAAAAAGGTATTGCTATCAAAATTTTTGCTCTATCTATTTCGATCTTTAACTTTGAGAGTATGTATGTAATCTATATATACATGCTCATGTTTGCATACACACACACACACACACACATGAATGCATACAGGTTTGTACACATGTTTCAAATCCATAGCTCAAAGAAAACAAATATATGCTAGACTAATAAACAAGTTTATTTCTAATATCTTTGAGATTCAAAAAGTTTATTTATGAAAAAAAGAAAAACACATGTTGGCACCTGAATGAACTGGTCAGTAGAAGGCATAAAAAGCACAAACTCGCAAGCATAAACATTTACAAGAAAACATTACAAATACCATAACTAACCCCATCAGATGCAGTAAGTATTGAATGAAGATTTGGTATAGAGTCTGCACTTTCAATTTTTACAATCACATGAATATCTGCATTGCAGCCTGCAAAAGAAATTTGTAAGTTCAACGAAGGGAAAAACAAAACAAAACAAAACAAAACAAAAAAAAAAACAAAAGAGAACAGTCGAAGTATCCCTTATACGAAAATGGACCAAAACATTACTTCTAAGATAATCTTTCAACTCATGGACCACGTTGGCATCCTTCACGAAAGAAACAGCATAGAAATCAACTTTGTTGTCCACCCCAAACTTGATATCTTCCCAGTCTTTGTCTGTAGAGATGGCATGAGCAGGTGGCAAATTATTAGATACTACAAGCTCTTTTGATAACATGAAAGAAGACAGATTGAAAAAAAATGCTTCATATCAACAGCGGTACAACATAAAAACTAAATAAACCTGTTATCGAAGGCAGAGTTGGCAGGGTTGCACTTTTTCCACGCACATTTAAATGTCGCCTTGATTTTAGTTCTCCACCATCAATTACTTCACATTTAACCGAATCCTTTGTCTTGGATTTCACAGCTAATGACATCATCCCACCTAGCAAAGAGACAGATTTATTAACTTCGATTATTGTGGGTGAGAGGTGTGGTTAGAGGTAGTCCGGGAAGATGGCGGGCACTTCAATGGCTTGGGATCACCGGAGGTGGAGAGGAGGAGGTCAAGGCAAGCTTGGAGAGGGAGAGGTTGGCAGTGATAAACCTTTGAACACTAATGTAAAGTATGAGAGAGTGTTTTAGCATGAGACTTGGTTGTATTGTTGTTGTTGTGTCTCGCTGCATATACAATACGTTATATAGGCCGCAGGAGTATTGGAGCCCAAGCAAACTGTTGGACAGGTGGCTCGTTCTTCTCAACTCTGCCAGAAGTGATATAAGCCCTTCTGCCGTCTGTGGCTTGCCGGCAGGCGGAGAGCAACGTTTCATGGCAGGCAGAAAGTAACGTTTCGTATATGCATCGGATGACATGAACGTAAGGTCATTGTTGCCTCTTCTCCAAGCCTGGTCGAGATAGAGTTGTCTCAGCAAGAAGACAACTATCTCGACGATCCCATGACTTCAGCCGCTAGTCCAGTATCCTCTGATGATCCCGAGCAGTAGTGCCTGGGTCCTGCTCCCAACCCAGGCATCCAAGTAGATAAATGGGCTAGGGGCCACCTTAGTGTTTAAGAGAGCCAAGGGCTCACTTCCAAGTGACCAAGTAGGAGAATGGGCCGCGGGCTTATCTCAATGTTTAGGAGAGCCATTGTTTATCGATCCAAGTCCAAGTGAGCCGGGGGCTGATTGTATTGTTGTTTGGCCTTGGAGCTAGGTATGAAGGACCATGGGCCCTACGGGGCCATGGTGCTGCCTGTTGCAGGGCTCTTCATATCTAGATATATTTGGATTTGTATATATGCTCCCGCTTAGGCTAAGCATATAGTTTTGGTTGCCTTGGTACATGGTGCCTATAGGGCTCGCCATGTATCAAACATACGACATGCCAGACGTGGTGCTTTATTGGTCTGCCATGTAGGTGGGGTTTTGGTGATGTGGCACATGTAGGGCTTGCCACGTATTGAGCTTGATACAAGTACCCACAATTATCAAGTAAGCAAAATGACCATTTAATTCAAAATGTTTGGTAACCAATAGAAGAAAAACAAACTAGTGATGATGATAAAAAGTAATCAAAGGATGGAAATCACAGGCAACATAAAAGCGCAAACTCAAGTCCAGGGTATAAATTTTCCAATGCAAAAATACATGCATATTTATAGGAGTTCACCTATGCAAAGACAAGGTCATACTTACCATCAACCAGTATCGTGTCCCCAACTGCCACATCATTGACAAAGTCATCATAATTTACGCTGACAGTATTTTCGGTGCTGACTCCCCTTTTAATAGTGAAATTGAACTCTTGCCCCTCCTTGAGCATGATTGGTTGAGGTACATCTCCACTTCTGACCTCAGGACCCTGCAGCAAGAAGGTTAGAATGTAATACAATAATTGCACTTGTGGAAGTATAAATAATAAACAACATATTACGAGAAGATGGAATAAAATATTTTACTGAGCCAACTCAACAAAGGGCAGAAATGAACAATTCCTATTTAATTGATAGAAAATACATTGGAGAAAAAATCTACATAGCGCGCCCCTCCATTCAATGACTCATTATTACCTTAGCATTCCACATGGACTGTGTTATTTCAAGATGGTACACATAATATGAGAGAGCAGCAAAGCTATTTTCCAAAATCAAATATTTGAGCAATAAAGAGAACAACCCTTTCAAATGGTTCCTCATCAAAGAAGAGGGATCCTATGACTGTTTCCTAACCTAACAACTCTACATTAAACACACTCTTTTTCAACCTATAATGAATTGCACCGTTAACTTTAGCTTCCATAAATCAGTCAAGTGAAAGCATTGCTCACTGGCATCAGTAGGTAGAGCTGACACAATAATGCAGTTGATAACCAACAATGAACTCCTGACATATGCTCTATTGTTTTGTAAGAATGTGTACATACTATAGGGTTTGAAAGTTTGTTGTTGAAGAAGAAACACAAGTGAGAGATTGTTCCAATCTCCTACAATTAAAGTTGTTTGATAGAGATTGCTTCATGGAAGGCTCTTTAGCAATCTAAAGTTCCCTACGAGGTGGCTTTCTTCAGGTGGACTGTCATCTTGGAGAAGATCATCTTAACCATGATGATCTGATAAGCAAGTGTCAGTCTCGCCCCAGTTGGCGTTGTACATGCAAAGGTGTGGCGGTCAATCATTTGTCATTGCATTATCTGGTAGCATCACAGTTTGTGGTCAAACTATGTCCTTTCTTTGGGATTCACTGGGTTAAGGATTCTTCTGCTGTCAAGGCATTGTCTTCATAGGGTGAAAAGAGGATGAGGAGAATGGCAAGGCCACTTATTTCTCCAGAAAAAAGGAAAAATATTTCTTTCTTTTTTTTATCATAATCAAATTGGTTTATTGTTCCAAGTGAGGAGAATGGCAAGGCCACTTAATTCTCCAGAAAAAAGGAAAAATATTTCTTTTGTTTATCATAATCAACTTGGTTTATTTGTTCCAATTGTTATGCTAGTAACAATGTTAAAACTCATATTAGTAATTGTAGAAGAAAAATGTGACTAAAGAAATAAAAATTTTACTAAAAACAAACATACCTTGGTGTCCAGCATTATGGCCACTACCTTGTCTTCGAATTGAGCATTGTACTCCTTAACCAGATCAATGGTCTTCTGGTGTGATGCATGGTCCCCATGTGACATATTTAAACGTGCCACATTCATCCCAGTTTCTACTAGTTTCCATATCATCTCACGTGAGCTTGTGGAAGGACCTATTGTACACACAATCTTTGTTTTCCTTTGGGCATTTGAGGTTGTACTTGCCTGCTCCACAGTATCACTAGGCTGAAGCACAATAGAAGAGTTCAACTTATCTAAAAAGATTAAAGTTGGGGTTAAATGTTATTGCATAAAGAGAATGAAACATAAAAGAATACAAACAATTGAGATAGACGGAAATCTATGTGAAATAATTTATGTACGTTCCACGAAAGTCAAAGAGCTCTCCACACCTAGGAAGCATAGATACGGATACGAGATACGGATACGACAAAACTTTAAAAAATAGGATACGGGTACGGTTAGGATACGTTTGTCAAAAATATATTTTTTAAAATTATTAATAGTGAGTTACACATAAGTTAAAGAACGTTGAGAAACCACAATGTAATTTTATAATGCAAAATACTATCTTTTAAGAATTTTGCATTAATTTAAACTAGTAGCTTGTTTACTTTTTAAATTTTTAATAGGTCTTGCAAATTTTTCATTTCAATATCAAGTTTAATATATTTATATTACAATAATAGAACAATTCGCAATTTGTCCCTATGGTTTTTTCCTTTAACACTAGTGAAAAATATTATATTCAAGTTTACTTGCTTATTTATTTATAGATATTTAATTTTACCATTATTATATTCTCTTGTTAATGCTTGCTTTCTATGTAGTTATATGGGACATGCATGAAATAATTAAGATACATCAATTTGACAAATTCTATTATTTAACTCACTATGCTCTTCTTATTGAAGAACTTAACAAAATATTAGAAAAATATTCTTATATTTATATTTGCAATTATATTATATTATATTTCTATGCAAGAATGTTACAATTCTAATTTCATAAAACAAGTAAACATGACTTGGAGTATCCGATACTTCAAAATTAAGTATCTGATACTCCAAAATTAATGAAAAAATAATTAAGAAGTATCCGATACTTTTAATAAGTATCCGATACGTATCCGCGAGTATCTAAGGAGTATCGGTATCCGATACGGATACGATACGGATACGTCACCCTATTTGAAGTATCCGTACTTCATAGCTCCACACATATGAATCCCATGAATTCAAAATTATTTGCCACTTGAGATTTGAAAGAACCAAGGGGTTGTAACCTGTGTGACTAGCCCTTTGGCCACCAAGTAAGGGGAGGTCTTGGATTCCACTCTTAGAAGTAGAATAGGGGACAAGACTTAGGTGCTTGCAAGAAGAGGGTGATGTTAATCTAAAAACTAACTACTAACTTTTGCCGATAAAAAAAAAATGAAGAAATGGTTCTTCAAAGCCCTTGTCTATCTATTGCACAATATTATTTCCCAAGTCTTATTTCCTTGCAAATCTCGATAAGGCCTAGAAATCCCCTATGTTACATGGATTCTTCTAAATTTGTGAAGTACCGTACCCATGTAAAACACTTGACGGAGGCTTCTATTTGCACCACAATTCTAACTCATTACACCTGTCATTTCTAGTTTATTTTTATTACAATTTTATCTCTACATAAAATTACTTTTACGCACTCAAACAAAAATGTGGAACCCTAATTTCTCTACCTGCCCACCCCTTCCCACCACCTGCTACCCTCCTCTGCCTCCCTCCACCGCCTCCCCAACACGCCTTCATCATCCACCTTTCTATGCCCCATCCCCCACCGCTGTTGGCCACCCCCAAAACCCATCACCCTCCCTCGCAACCCCTCCTTCCCCTGCCAACTACCAACAGCAACTCCCTCCTCATCACTCTATTTCTTCCCCCTCTCTGCCACCCTCCCCTCCTCTGCCCCTCCCGACCCCCCACTCCTTCGCCACCACCTCCTAATTTATTTAAAGACTTGTTAATTACTTGTCATAATTATAAAATAACCACACAATCTATGCGGTTTTCTTGCATAAGTATTCAATCTTGGAAACGCATATTTCTGGAAATAACTCATGATTCTCAAAAATCTTAAACCGAAAAAAATTACAGAATACCGCAAATCACACTATGGGTTGAAAAAATTAGTACCAATAGCTACAATGATATATATGTCATACACATGCATGCATGTACAGAAAGTTATGAAAAGGGTGAGAATGAGGACTCTGTTTCCTAATTTTGAATTTCAGCAAAACCCAGAGTACAAAATAGTTTGAAATCAAAATACAGGGAATAGAAGAAGTGTGAATTAGAGAGAAAGTCTCACAAAGCCGTTAAGAGGACCGTTCTGGGACGAAAGGTCAGCGTCATGGCTCTGCTCGGCGATCTTCATCGCCCGGACCGTGAAGCTTTCCTTGCACATGCTTCGTTTTCGGGTACGCGAAAGAGGTAAGAAATCGGTCAAGTGTTTGGATGAGAATCGATCAGAGAGCTTGGTGGCTTCGGATTTCAAGGCAGACATTCCCGTGGGAAGATTGATCGTCGCCATTACAAAACAAAATCAAAATATACAGAAACAGAGAGAGAGAGAGAGAGTTGAAGAGAAGAACAAAAATGAAACTCCTGAGAGGAACAGAGAGAGAGAAAGAAAGGGGTTTTGTAGCAGTTTTTGTGGTTGATTACGAGAAGGAAGACAAGGGGAGGCGGAGAGAGAGAGTAATGTATTGTATGTGGCGTGCGTTTATGTGAAGGAGTAGGGCGACACGAGGAAAGGAGTGAACTTCGTTCAACGAAACAAACAAGAGAGATCTTGCTGCACATTGGACAGTTGTAGTAGGGCTGGACCACCCCTCTCCAATCTTTTTATCAAAATTTTTATAGACTTTAATATATATATATATATAAGATGAGAACAAATTTTTTTTTAAAAAAATCAGAACTTTTTTAATAAAATAAATTTTTAATTTTTTCAGTTTAAATTATAATTTTTTAAATTTGAATTATCAACCTATTTTTGTTAACTAAAATTTACGAAAAATAATATTTTAGTCATTAAATTTTATCTAATTGTACATAAAATGTCTAAAATATCAATTTTTGTTAAGTTTAATGACTAAAATATATTTTTTCCTTATCGATTTTACTTAATGAAAATAAGTAGATGGTTTAAATTGAAAAAAATATAAAAATTTATAATTTAAATTGACAAAATTAAAAATTCATAATTTATTTTATTACAAGGGTTAATCCTATGATTTTTTTAAAAAATAATTTTTTAATTAAATTTAAATTTGATAAAAAAAAATACTAGTAAAAATGAAATCTAATCTATTCATTAAGTGAAGAATGAATTAAAATTTTCATTAAATTTTAAATAACTTTAAAAAAAAATTTTTTATTAAATTATTAAAAGATGAAGGGTTTTTTTTTTAATCAGAAAAATATGATGGATTGGAGATCAATTTTTCTTACTTGAATTGGTTAAAGGTGGTTTGTGTGATAAGTTATGTAATTTTTTTTTTTAAATGATCAAATAAATTATTCTTACCATTGAAGGTGAGTTATATCAAATTCAACATTTGGTCTAAATTATTTAAATAAATTTGATTGAAAAAATAAATAGATGTATACCATATGCACTTACCACTTGGAGATACCCTTGAACATTCCTCACACTACTAAGCATTCGTTTGAGAAGAAGGGTTGAGGTTGGGTTTGGGACTATTTTAGTTACAAAAAGATAAAATAGCATTTTCAGCTAAATAAGACAAAAATTACATCCAACCCATTATCATTATATTATTTTTCTCATAAAAAGTTAAAAAACCAAAAAATCATTTCCAAACGAGCTTTTTAGCCCAAGGTTAAAATAGCAAAAAAATCAATTCACTTTCCAAACGAACTCTAAATTTTTAGAAAGGCTATGGTGTATATCATATGCACCTACCACAAAAATGTATAATTTTATCACAAAATTTCATAATATTAACTATAAAATGCGTAATTTTGTCACAAATTAGTGTAACAAAAATATCCACTATCTTGTGGTTGATGTTGCAAAAATTTATAGCTTGGTTACGAAATTTTTATTATGTTAATTTGTGACGAAATCATACATTTTATAATTGATAATAGGAAAATTTATGATAGAATTACACATTTGTTTGGTTGCATATGATATGCATCCCTGCGCTTTTTCCTTAAGTTTTTGATAGTTGTCTTCTTTAGGTTTTAGAAACAACATAAAAAAGATGGGTTCTATTGCTACAATAAATAAAAATCAAAATAAAATACCACACCATCTTATTCTGCAAGCACTAACTATTTTTTTCTTATTTTCTCATTAAAATATGATGTTGAATATGATAAAATTAATGAGTTTCTTAATGTTGTGGTATTATGTTGGAGATTTAATTTAATATGTGTAGAGATTAAATTTATAAAATTATGTAAAAATTTACTTGTAAAAGATTACGTTATTGTTTTGGTAAAGTGAAAAAAAAAAAAATACTCAACTCCAATTTTATGAGATTGGATTAAAAATCTGAAAGAAAATTTTTTTGTTCAACCACCAAAAGTGTATAAACAATACCTAAAATATGATCAATCAAGTATATGAACTTTGGGTTTGTTGGGATGTGAGTTGATTTTTTAACTTTTTAACTATTTTTGTTTGAGGTTAAAATGTTTCAACTGGTATAATAAATTTTGTTTTTGTTTTTTTTTATTTTTTTGAAAAAAAAAATGATTACGATTTAAATATGATATTTTGTCTTATTAACTTTTTAATTTATTTTATCATTTTGTAGCTAAAATAGCCTTTTAACTCCAAAATTTACTATGCCAAACAAGTGCTTTATATCAAAAAAATATAATGACTTCATCCAAAATGAAAAATTTCACTATTTTACACCAATCAAAATACATGTATACAAAATCCCACTCCTATCCCAACACTGTGAAAATATTAACAGTTCCGATTCAGACCTCTAATTTAGTTGCTCTAAACAGGTGGCACCTAATAAGGGAAGATGAAGCACATTTGCACATACAGTGCGTGTGTTTCACGCACTGTAAAAAAATAAAAAAATAAATAAAAAATAGAAATCCCGCTCAAACAACAGTAAAACAAAGGTATTTCAAGGTCTATTCTAGATGTATCTCTCCTTCGCCGTCCCTCTCCTCCACCGTCCGACGTCTTGTCTCTTCTCCGTCGTCAGGCATTCGTTGTCTCCCTTTCCGTCTCCGTCTTCTTTTCCTTCTCCGTCTTCCCTCTTTGTTCATGGATATAGGATTTCTCTTACGGGTTTGATTGTTAAGAAGACTTCTGGAAGGAATGAAATGTTGGAATCTGATAATTGATAGGGGCTATGAACTTGGGTTTGTATCTTATATTCTGTATATATTATGATATTGTATAGACCTTTTACAAGTCTTTGGTATAGGATGATCACCAGGGCATCATGTTGGAAATGAATAGCATTGATAGCCCATGGAGAGTTGCGGCTATGTTATTTTATAGACCTTATTTTACAAGTCCTTGGTATAGGATGATCATTCAAATATTTGTTCTCTATGTTTTGTCCTTCTCTCTCTCTCTCTCTCTCTCTCTCTCTCTCTTTCTCTCTCTCCATACTTATACATATACATACATGTATATATATATAGATAAATTTCTGAGAATGATGAATTGATATATATTTTGAGAATGATAAGTTGATAAATTCCTAGGAATGATGAATTGATATATTTTTGAGAATGATGAATTTATATACATTTATATATATATATATATATATATATACATATATTGAGAATGATGAATTGATAAATTTCTGGTTAATCATTTTTAATCGATGATGAATTGTTGCTCAATCTCTGCTACATGTTGAATTCAAGTTCTGGAGATTCTAAGGCCTAGAATGTGAATAAATCTATTAGATTATAAATAGAAAGCAAAGAATGAGAATCAAAAGGAGGAGGAGGAGAAGGAGAAGGAGAGAAGGGGGCGGTGGACAGCGGGGGAGGAGGGAGAGAAATAGAAGGCTTGGCGAGGTAGTGTCGGCCGGCGATAGGGGAAAGGAGAAGAGGGGTTACTGCTGCGTGTGATAATGGTGGTGTTGGCTTTTTGGCTTTCGAAGGTTATTATTGTAATTGCGAGCGTGCCAGCAAGGATCAATCAGTCCTTACAGAAAATTAATTGCTAACCAATTATCAGACGATTGTGTTTTAGTTCTTTCAGCCTCACTGAAGAGGACTTTTACTGGTGGCTTGATTTAGGAGAATTAAGCAAAATGACAATTAAATAAAGAACAGTTGAAGCATTTCATTAAAATGAAAAACTTACAATGATTCAAACTCAGCCTCGTAGAGGTTTACAGCAACAATCTACTTGAAACTACTCCTATGAACGAAGTGCAGTGCAAGAATTTAAAATACAGGAATGCAAATAACAGGAAATGTAAGATTGGAAATGTAAAAACTGGAAAGGAAAATAATAAGTATAATAAGACTGGTTTTTTGGATATGAGTCTGGGGCTCTTTTTCTGGGCCTTCTCTGTTATTTATACTTCTCAAGGATGACCATCGAGCTGTATTTCCAACCGTCGAACTGCTCCTCCGTGATCGCTGATCATGTTGCCTTATAATTAGCTCCACTGTGCCATCACTTGCAGTTAGGTTTCCCTCCTAAATTTGAATTCAAATGTGAGTAACCGTTGAAGCCACATCACCTTACATCTCTTTGTTGATCCACTGCTACTCAGATCTCGTAATAACCAATACTATCTGCCACGTGTACGATCAGGATCGAAGACTTGAATAGTCTTCCTGTATTACCCTTATTCTGCCATGCGTCGAATTGTAATTGGCTTGTACAAAATATGTAGCCAACATTACCCCCCGCACTAATATACCCAATACTTGGTGATATTAGTGGATCAAGGTCTTTTATCCACGTCTTAGAACGTGCATGGGCTTTGCATTCTTCCAGAAATGCAACTGTCATTTATCATCTGCATTAAAGTCTCCTTCAATCTTTTGAACACCCCCACCACCTTAGTATTCGAACAGACTGATACATTTTTTATAGCCAAATCAATTTTCTCCTCCATTGATCGAGCACACGAAGAGTTATCTGATGATGTTGTTCCTTCTCGAAAGAACCTTCATTCATTAATTAGCCACCTTTACCCACCTTTCTATATTCAGGTCATGAATGCCTTTGTAAATTATCAACCCTTGGACTACGAACACATTGCCCTTAATCCTTTGATTCAGAAACTTACAAACATGGACATGAGAAGTTCTTCTTCTGACTCACCCTTGGACTACGAACAAACTGCTTTCTATCCTTTGATTTAGAAAGTCGCAAATACGGACATGAGAAGTTCTTCTTCACAACCCTCTGCATGGGGTAAGGCTGCAGCTTCTTCTTCCTCTGGGGCTTCTGACTAGACAAGCTGGTCAAAACCTGAGGTCTGTGATTTAAGGGAGCGAATCAACCATCACTTTGTCGAGTTTACTGACCCTTTAGAGTTCCCTTCCTATGCGTGAAGCTCGGTGGTTTATCCTTACGTGCCCATCGACCGTCGACGCAGTTTGGAGGAGAATCTGCTTGTAGCATGGTACACATCCTCCATGCCTACAAAGATAGTGCACACTGCCCGACGCCCTGAAGAGGCACAAGGGTACAATCCATCGTTCTTAGCCCAAAAGGCGATGCTTTGCTCTTCTGACTGGCTTGATTATATTAATGCCCTTGTTTCTTCTGTCCTTACTCCTCCTCCTGAAGTGGAGGCTTCTATACC